TTGACCCTGAAGTCCAGCTGCAAGCCCAGGGATGAGATTAAAGTCACAGTTCAGCGATTCCAGAGTTCGGAGTCCCAGTGCCTGGGTTTGAAACAAGTCTATTCTTTTCCTTCAGGGTCCTTACCACAGATAAAATTATGTATTTTTTATTCATGTACTTAGTATTTATCTCCCCTCCTAGAGGGTAAACTCCATGTAAGTAGGAAGGGTGTTTCCCCATAGCTAGTATAATGCCTGGCATAGAGTGAGCACCAGGTAAATATCTACTGAATGAATTAAAGAATGAAGTTTACAGTTTGGCTCTACACAAGTAACTTCACATCTCTGACTTAAACACCAATTCTTTTAAGGAGATCAATACTTCCCTGGGTCAGAGGGCAGGTGGGAAAGATACAAAGAATGATTGAAAGCATATACAAGAAGAATTCACATAGCGGACAATATCCATAATCCTCTGATCTCCTCAAAGCTTCATAGTTCTCTTTAGGCTCTCCTTTGCATTTCCTCACTTGATCTTCACAACAACTCATGAGGCATGAAGAACAAGGATTATTTTCTCCGTTTGATAGTTAGGGAAGGCCCATGGAGGAGAAGGGTCACTCCAGCTCACATGACTGGAGGGCAGAGCCAGGACTGGAACCCAGGACTCCAGAGTCCTAGGTCAGCTGAGTCCTCCCACACACACCCAGATTCTTCCCTTGACCAGCACCAGACCCAACAGTCCCTGCAATGGGCTCAAAATGGAAGTAGTGGAAGGCCCTCTCCTGCTCATCTCTTCCCACAGGCCTCCAGTGGTTGCTTGGCAACCAGCACCAAGCAGTAAATGGCCTCTAGTCAGGTCTGTTGCTGTGGAGTTACCTAATCTCTCTCACTTCACACCTGTGCATGCTCTCACTCTCTATTAATGAGACTTCTCCCCTACCCCCACCTCCCCAGTAAGATTCTCATCTCTGATCCACAATAATTAACCTCTCATGAAACAGAGGGGGCTCTTAGGGACCTATGTATTCAGGGACCCCAGGGAACAAAGCACTACCAATACCTTCATCATCCAACATCCTCCAGAGATGATAGAAACTCTTTTTGCGAATGGTCCTGCTCAGCAATGCTCATAACCTCCTCTTCCTCCCTCTCCACCTTCCACCCTGACAATGGCTTTCTGAAATCCCCTGAGAGATCAAATTGACCAGAGAAATTTAACTGAACATTTCAGACAGTGCTAGTGATGTTCCAGCACTCCTGGAACCATGGGTGGAAAATCTGGCAAGGAACTCAGTCACACTTTGCATTTAGATCAGGAACAGAGAGAAAAAGGAACCTAACATTTATTGTGTTCCTAATATATGCTAGGCACAATACTATGTTATCGCATGTAGCACCCCCCATCAACAAACCTGTGAGCCTTTTACAGTTGAGGATATTATCTATTCATAGAAATAGAGTGACTTACCAAAGCTCACATAATTAAAAAAAAATCACAGAACTTTTGTTTACAGAAGTAAATATATGTAAGCAGATATATATAAGCAGATATGTGTTCCTCCTTCTTCCTAAACAATTAATTGATCATCGAATTCTGTAAATTCTAGTCCTAAATCTCTCTCCTCATTTCCATCCCTTTGGTCACTTTGTCGCTGTCATGATATTATGTTCCAAATGTCTGCATTCTCCTAAAATTCATAGGTTGGAGTCCTAACCCCCCAGTGTGGCTATATTTGGAGATGAGGATTCTAAGTTAGTGATTAAGGTTAATTGAGACCATAAGCGGGGGGCGGGGTGGCTGATTTGATAGGATTAGTGTCCTTATAAGAAGAGACACCAGAGAGCTCCCTCACTCTCCATATATAAGCACCAAGGAAAGGCCATGTGGGCACGCAGCTAGAAGGCAGCTATCTGCAACACAAGGGAAGAGTTCTTGTCAAACATCAACCTTGCTAGCACCTTGATCTTGAACTTCCAGCCTCTAGAACTAGAAGAAAATAAATTTCTATTGTTTAAGCCGTCCAGTCTGTGGTATTTTGTTACGGTAGCCCAAGCAGACTAATACACTTAATTCAGGCCCTTATAACTTACCTGAACCACTGGTTTCTTTGCCTTATTTCCATCCTTTCTCCAAACTGAAAGAAGGGATTTTTCTAGAATGCAAATCTGACCTTATTAAAACCCTTCTATGGTTCCCCATGGTCTGGTAATGGTCTCCAAATTTATACCCTTTAAGTAAGGCCATGTGAACAATGTGAGCACATACCCACAATATTTGTATATTTATTTAGATTACACATACATATAGATCTATATCTGTACACAAAAGATGTTAAAACTCATAAAAATGACAAATATTTAAATCTTTACATTTTAATGTATTTATGAACAGTACAGAAAACTTTTTCTCTGCTATAGAAAGGCACATATGCACACACGCACAAAATCTCTTTGCTAATTTTTTTTTTTAGCAAAAGCAATGTGATTGACTATGTCAGATCTAATTAGATCATCATTGATTTTACCTCAAAACATGGCTGACAATGAACTTATGCTGGGAGTCTGAGAAACATCAGTTCAGCCATTTTCCATGCTCACTTGGGCTCACTATAATTAGTATAGTCTTCAGGCAGAGGTATCTTCGCAGGACTCTTTTAAAGCCACATATCCATTGTGAGGGTTTATTTAGTTAAAATTAGGTAGTATAATCAATAAATCCACTTAACCAGGGACAGAGAAACTGCAAAAGTTCACAATGTACTGAACATAAATGAAGGACTGAGGGAGCCACCACTGCCAAATCCCTTGGAA